AGGGTGACTCCCGTTGCCGATATAGTCGAATTGATTGGTTGAATGATCACTGATTTCTTTTTTTGACTATGCCTACTAGACGCCAGCGCAATAAGAGAGAAGACTCCGTCAATGATTCAGTTGGAACTTTCTCAGCGAAGCAGCCGGATCTTGAGGTAGGAGGCGAATATAGTGCGCAAGGTGACTACTCTAAATTATCAGCACAGGAATTGTTACAAGCTATTTCGGAGCGGAACAAAGATCCGCTTATTGACAAGATGCTGAAAGCTTTATCCGCTAAAATTTCCTGAAGAAGTAACTGATGGAATTGAGGCGGAAAAGCGTGCTCGAAGTCTCATAATTGCAGGGCTGCCGGAGTCGTCCCCCAATTGCGTCCGTCAGCCAAGCAAGCCGAGTTGGAGGCCAGAGTCGGCGAACTGTTGGACGTACTGGGGGTCGAATGTCGACCATTAGAAACTTATAGGTTGGGAAAAGTTGCTGATAATCGCCCACGTTTAGTCAAATTGGTTCTACCGACCAGGTCTCACTGGATAGCTGCACTGTCTAATTCCTACCGTCTGCGCAATTCTAGTTTCACTACAGTCTACATAAGGAAAAGTATGACAGCGGCTGAACGAAAGTTGGACCGTGAGCTCAGGCAGGAATGCAAAACCCGCAATGATCAGGCTAATAGCCGCATCTGGGTGGTACACCGGGGCGAGCTGAAGCTAGCCCAGGACCTGCCACCGCGCAATTCGGGAAACTAATGATGTGTCATGGCTCCCACTTGGGTATTAGATGCATGCTATTTAACTCTCGCAGCCTTTCGAATAAAAGGCACCACCTTCACCTTTTGTTGAGCTCCTGTAAGCCAGACTTGATATTCATAACAGAAACATGGCTATCGTCCAGAACTACTAATTCGGAAATTGTCGCCGGTCTCCCCTATTATCTATTCAGATCTGATCGCAGGTGCTCCAAAGGCGGAGGTGTGTGTGTTTGGCTAAATATGGTTTGAACATTGTTCCAGTTGCTACCCCTTCTAAAATCAAATCCGATTTTCTATGTTTTGATGTTACTGACTCCACATTCTCAAAATCTGTTAGAATAATCCTAGTTTATCGGCCACCATGCTCCTCTGCATCTGATGATGAAGAACTTATCGATACATTACTGGATCTTATCCTTTCTCCCAGGCCACATTATTCTGTTAGGTGACTTCAATCTCGATATTGATTGGAGTAATGGCACTGCCGAGAATTCACAAGCGTCGAAATTTCTTGAACTTTTCAAAGGCTGCGGTCTGACTCAGCATGTTAAAGAGCCTACTCGGGGCGATTCAATACTAGATCTTATCTTGTCCTCAACAACAATTCTAGATGATGTATCAGCGCAGCCGCCTTTCGCTACATCGGATCATAATGTTATCACTTTTCGAATCCGAGTGAGCCAGCCAATAACCAAAAAGTTACCTCTCCCAAATTTTAATAAAACTGATTTCAACGGATTGGCGCTGTACTTAGATTCGATGGACTGGTGGAACATCTTCCTAGGTTACTCATGTGTGGATGACCTATACAAAAGATTCTGTCGCATTGTATACGAGTGTTTAGCGAAGTTTGTTCCCTTTTATAATGTTGAGCCACCTATAACGCGCTATTCAAAGCATGTAATGAATCTCATGTCTCATAAAAATGGCTTATTCACCTTGTTAACAAATCCTCACGTTCATCCACTGTACAGAAGAATCTGCTCTGAATTGGATCGACATGTTAGAAGATCCTTGAAAAATAAAGAAAAGCATGCTTACACTAGTCCTAATTCGAAAGCATTATTTTCTCTAATCAATAGCAAAATGAAAGCTCGTGCGGACCTTCCAGTACTTCAGGATGAAAGTGGAAACCTTTATACTGAGGATAATACCAAGGCAGAGGCGTTAGCATGATACTTTGTCTCGGTTTTCACATCAGACTCAAATATACTAGTGAACAGTAGCCCCGCGTCTAATGATTCCTCTGAGCTCACGGCACCTGTATTTATCTATCCTAGCGAAGTACTGCGTATTTTGAAAGCACTTCAAGTGCTCAACTTCCGCTACAATTGATGGGATTCCGCAGATTGTATACAAGAGATGTGCGCACTCCCTGTACAGACCACTAACAATGATCTTCAATGCCTCGCTGCAGTTCTCTGAAGTTCCTCACTGTGGAAGGAATCCATTGTGACT